TTGAAAACATCTAATTAAAATATATAGTTTTATGCCTTAAATCACTCAGTTTAAATAACATCTCTTATGTTCTAGTCAACTGGATTGTTTAAAACTTACAACTGTGATTCACACTTTAAAATTAAACAAGAAATCCTGTATAAGGGGAGTGGTGGGTGAAACGATTCTATTTCAGAGCTCTTTAAGCAGATAGTAAATACATAAAACTAGCCTTAATGCAATATCAAGGTTGCAAAATAATTTTTTAAAATTAAGGTTTAGTGTTTAAACCAAACTCTCACAAAACAGGAAATTCCAAGAGTTAAAGTTTCTGCTTCACTCTTAACTCATCTAAATTGCATGTCCAGTTGTATATATGGTGTGCTTTAAAACGATTTATCCTTTCTTATATGGAGTATTTTACAAATAATAAGAGAAACAAAGAGATTGAAGAGATTAAAAAAATAAAAATGAGTTAGAAATTAGTTACAAAGCAAGAAAGGGTTCAATATATAAACGAAAATATTAGGAAAGCGCTGAAACTGCCAAAAACAATAAACAGGTCATGAAGCAACGGCTAAGAAGCAAATGCTATTAAAATAAATCAACAAACAAGAAAAACAGGGTAAACATTGTATAGCTTTCCTCCTACTCTTTTAGCTTTGTCCTGCAAATATTTGTGCACATGCTTACTTTGTGTGCCCTGAATTAAGCACATGTTCAAGTATTTGGAAAATGGGCCATACTCTATGATCCTGGACCTTTTCTCTTTCACTGCCTCATTGACAATAGTGGGACTCCCTAAGAACATGCAGGTCCACACAGAGCTCAAAGTATGGGACTGGGTTGTGACATAGATGGGACTGCTTACATGCATTACTTTATAAGCATAAATGTTTGCAAAAGCACAGCCTTAGATTATCTTCAGGGCAGGGATTTGCCATATATTTGTGAAGGACCTAACACACTTTCTGAAGCTAAATACATTTATACTACATATACAAATGTCCAATGTGACTGAGTTAGTACTGCAAAATACATGTATTTTGTATTTAATCAGCTTATTTTAGAAAAGAATAAAAGGAAAAATACTGACCTAGCAATTGATTACAGGTTATACAAGCTTGATCAGGAGAGATTACGAATTCATTGTGTCACAGTCGAACTTCTATTATCTGAAGTCTGGTTGACCAGAGTTCTGTTATCTCAAAGTCAGTTGTGTCTCCCAGAATTTGAACAAACTTTGGGCTACTGGACTAGCAAAGAACTTGTGTACTAGGGACCTCATTCTTTTTAATGTAGAGCTACTTGACTGATACATATTGTAATGTGCAGTGGCTCACCAAACTTGCTCATGGTCATTTGGCTGCTCAGATAAAAGCTTCCACCTATTTCTTCAGTGGATCTTGTCAGCTTCTTCATTCCAAAATAATAATCTATCAGACAGAATTTCCCAGGTGGACTGTCACCATGTACAGTTTACACCTCTGCTTTATGCATGTTGACACTGTTTTGATTTTCCAGTTAATGAACTTGAACAAAGTGTCTCTAATATGGTCCCGTTGTTACACACACATTCTGTAAGCTCTTCAATACAAGACCCACTGCATTTGTGCCAAAACTTCTAAGCCTTACCACACACAGCTTCTTCCTATTTCAGCAAAAGAGCTTATAAATTGTTGTAAACAAATAGCTACCTACCACATTTCTTATGCCACAGCTATCACCTTCAGAGCTGAACACCTACAATTTTTTAAAACTGAAATTCTGTCTCTCACCAACCCTTTAGCCATCAGAACAAGCTGCTTATTTTGATCAAGGGTGGGTTTTGATTTTGAGTACAAAAAATACTGAAGTAAAGTTAAACTTAGTTTTGCATTTAGTTCTAAAAATGATGAGTTCCATATTCCAATGTTAGCTAACTAATCACTTATATACACTTCATCTTTCTTTAACTGTACAGTTAATAGCTCAATTTTTTTTCCATTGAACGTGCCTGTCCCCATATTTTTGCATCAGCAACATTTTGTTATGTTTTAAAATATTTCCTCTCTCATCCCAATATGGGTAATCGATCTCACATTTATTAAAACCCTCATCTGGCAAAGGTGGATGTAATGATATAAGGGTGATGGGTGCAGGTTAAGAACCTTCACTTTCATGGGTAGAAAGTAGGACTGGAAACATTTTTCTATTAATTTTTTCATGGGCAGCAACAATTAAAATTTGCTTATAAAAATTGTCTTAATTTTCAGGACATTGTCTCATTCTGTTATGTAAGCTAAAATGAAATGTTACTTCTGTTTGTCTAAAGATGTTTCTCTGCTTTCTACTTCTCTTTGGATTGTTGGGTCATTGTTTCTCCTTTTTTATTATTGTTCTTTTAATGTTTGACACATGTGGTCTTAAATTTTATTTTCTCTTAACTTAAAAATTAAAATATCATTGCCACTGTTAATTTGAAATCATGAGTCAGAATTGAGACTATGTAATAACTTATTTTGAATTAAAGTACAAAGTCTAATACCTAAATAATATTAAAGATAATGTCCATTCAGCTGGAAATCTATAGCTGACAATAGCACTTGTCTAGACCTCCATCAGTGCTGTGTCTTTCCCCCCGTTGCCCGGGTGCTCTCCATAACTGTCTCTATGAAAGTTTTGTTTGGGTCCTTCTTCATGCCAATGGAAAATAATATGATGGGGCTGGAAAGAAACTGCATTTGAGCTATTCACTTGAATCTACACCACATCTTAGCTCAGAGCATGCTTTTGCAGATATATATATGGAGGCTTTTTTTAAATTAATGTCATCATGGTAAGCCCAGTGTCTAACATGGCAATGTTACAGGGCAATTAGAATTGTACTCTAATACATCCTAAAAGACAGATTAACTGCTGGTTTAAAAGCTTTTGTAAACATGAATATGCACTGTAATTTGTTGTTGATTTGGTGGCATTTAACTGTAATTTTCTATGCAACCACTAACAGAGCTCTCTTTTTCCTTTTTCTCCAACACCGATGTAAAGCAGTCCAGCTGATTGTTAATTTGTATGCTGCCTTACCAGACCAATTCTTGGCAACAAGACAGAATATACAGTCCAATCATCAAAACCACTGTAAATGGTAGTTGCTGTAGCCTGGTGAATCTGATTCTTTATGTGCATTGACAGCTGCAAACATACTGACCTTGTTGTTTTTGATATTTTTTTTAAACAGTTCTACCTCCAAAGACGCAGAAATATTTTACCCCTTCAAATTATCTGTTCCTTGAGATAAGATTGTAGACATAAAAACAGGCTTGCCCTCTCCTGCTTTGAATACTAGCCTGTGTTTCTAACTTTTTGCAAATCCTCATGCAGCACAAGATCCTCTCCTGGTGAGTAAGTCCATGATGAAACACAATGCACCCACAAACCTGCCTGTCTTGATCTCCTTAAGAATGCCCTGACTCATTATTTTTTATGATTTAAATAACTTTTGATATATTTCAAAATAAACTCTAGACAGATATTTTTGAGATCTAAAATAGCAAGCTTACGGTTGTGTTTGTTACAATGTACAATACTGGGGAAGTATCTAGTCTCTGCTTGGCGTGCAGTTTGAACAGCTAATAGTCATAGGCTGTGTCCAGACTCAGTGGTTTTTTCGGGAAAAGTAGCCTTTTTCCAAAAAAACTTCACCTGCGTCTAGACTGCAGCCGCGTTCTTTCGAAATTAAATCGAAAGAATGCGGCTTTTCTTTCGACGGTGGTAAACCTAATTCCACGAGGAAGAACGCCTTCTTTCGAAAGTGCTCTTTCGAAAGAAGGCGTTCTTGAAAGCAAACAGGCTTTTTAGAAAGAGAGCATCCAGACTCACTGGGTGCTTTCTTTCGAAAAAGCGGCTTGCTTTTTCGAAATTCCGCGTGCAGTCTAGACGCTCTCTTTCGAAAGAGGCTTGCAGTCTAGACATAGCCACAGTTACACCATCTAACTTCAGCCAAACCAATTCTAGTTTGAGCTCTTTCTGGATTGATCCCACAACTCCTAAAGCTGTGTGTCAGCTAAGAATACAAGCTTTTCCCACCTGTACACTGACTTGCTCAACAACATATCCATCAATGGATGCATGAGCAAATACAGTAATTAAACCCAACTTTCTTTGTGCTATTTGCCTACCTAACTTTCTAGTTATCTTTATAAGAGCCAGTGGATCCCAATTTAGGGGGGACAGAAAGGGGAAGTGCTGTCCACATACCATAATACTCCTGAATCTGCAGGAACTCAGCATAATTCATCCAAGCCCGAAAGACTCTGGTGGATTTAGTGGGCTTTGTTGGAGAAGAGCTAGGCTTTGAGCTGAAAAGGAGGGATGACTGAAAGTCATACTGTCTGGGTAGAGAGGGGTCAGTTCAGAGACCCAGGACCTTCATCCAGGTGGCTGATGTCTGTCTCTTAAAATCAACTGGCTTTAGTGATTAACTTCTCTCCCTTCACTTTCATGGACAAGCAAACTTTGCTCCCCCAAGAACATGTAGGAAATATAATGAAAATAATCTCGTGGTTTCCTGTCTCCTGCATGTGAGCAGCCTGCATTTTTTGTGTTCCAAAGAAGGGCTCATTGGGCTACAATTTCTGATTCACCTAAAGCAGTAGCTCTCAATACCCTTTTAGGAAGTTTGTTATGTCTTGCATACCCCAACTTACACCTCGCTTAAAACCTATGTACTTACAAAGATCAGACATAAAAATACGAAAGTGTCACAGCATAGTATTACTGAAAATGTGCTCTCAGTTTTATATTTATAAAATACATTATGAATATAAATACTGTACTTACATTTCAGTGGATAGAATATATAGAGCAGTGTAAACAAGTCATTGTATGAAATTTTAGTTTGTATTGATTTTGCTAATGCTTTTTACCTAGCCTGTTGTAAAACTAGACAAATATCTAGATGAATTGATATACTCCTGAACACCTCTATGTACCCTTGGGGTGCACATGCTCTCAGTTGAAAACCACTGATCATAGAGTACCTTTTCAAAACATGAAAACAACAGTGGCAACTCTCCAGCTCTGTTACTATAGGGGTGCCGATCTGGAAGAGAGGAAAAAGTACAGATTTTAGTACCTCAGAATATCTCTCAGAATTATCACGAGTACCAGTCTAGCTGATAGTCTAGCTGATAATTTATTTAAATTTAATTTCACAAGGACTTCTATCCTTTCTGTTCCCTTCTAACTCTGAGTGCATTTCTGGTGCCACAATTCCTTTCTTGCAAACTCTGTAATGCTTACTATACCTCTACCAAGCCTGTTAAATTGAACACCTGCAGGCTACGTCTAGACTGGCATGATTTTGCGGAAATACTTTTAATGGAAAAGTTTTTCCATTAAAAGTATTTCCGCAAAAGCACATCTAGATGGGCAAGGATGCTTTTGCGCAAAAAGTGCTTTTGCGCAAAAGCATCTGTGGCCAGTCTAGACACGATTTTGCGCAAGAAAGCCCTGATCACCATTTTAGCCATAGGGGCTTTTTTGCACAAAACAATTCTTCCCTGTCTACACTTGCCCTCTGGCGCAAGTATTCTTGCGCAAGAGGGCTTTTTCCCCGAGCGGGAGCGTGAAAGTATTTGCGCGAGAAGCACTGATTTTGTACATTACAAAGTCAGTGCTCTTGCGCAAATTCAAGCGGCCGGTGTAGACAGCTGGCAAGTTTTTGCGCAAAAGCATATGCTTTTGCACAAAATCTTGCCAGTCTAAACCCACCCACATTGTTTAATCTCCAGGTTACTGCACTGTTGCCATTACCCCTCCAAATTATGCTCAGAGCTAGGATCTGCAAATTTATTAAAATCTAATCCTGAACCTACTGGTGATTTGTCTTGGACAAGTCAATTCATCTCCCCACCCAGTTTCCAAACTTGAATGGCTAAAGGTAAGCATAGGCTAAATTAAGCTCTAGATTCATAAATAAGTAGCGTGTTTTTCAGATAACTACCCACAGTCAAACTGACTAGATGCCATACACAGTTTATAAAATGCATAAAAATGCCACTAAATCAATATTTAAAAGCTCTCAAACCTATCCCCCAAACACTTTCATATCACTTCCCCCTCCCTCCAACAAACATCATATTCACCTCAAATAGGGTTGCCAGGTGTCTGGTTTTGAACCAGACAGTCCAGTATTTGAGCTTTCTGTTTGGGAAACAATTTGAGAAAATATAAATATAAATGTCAGGTATTTTCTAAATAAGATGTAATGTAATGTCATGTGTATCGTATTTTTGTTGAAACCATCTGGCAGTCCAATCCCAAATAAGATCTTTCCCTTTATATCAATCAACCCACATTTTAATTCACTTCAAGGTAAGTCTCGGAGAATAGATAGGCCTAGCACCATACCCTGAAAGTCAAGAAATACAGGCTCTTGCCCATAGTAAGTGGGAGTATGGGTACGTCTAGACTACATGCCTCTGTCGCCAGAGGCATGTAGATTAGGCTACCAGACATAGTAAAATGTAGCGGTGATTTAAATAATCGCCGCTTCATTTACATTTACATGGCTGCCGCGCTGAGCCAACAAACAGCTGATCAGCTGTT